TGCTGAACAGATGGCACAAAAACAAGCAAGAATCAGAACACATCTGTCCGATTGTAAATTGTGGGAAGAGGCTCTCAATTGCCATGATACTGCTATACATAGTTCCCGTGGGGCAGAGCTGCACTGCTATCCAGAGTGTCCACAGGTAGTGGATAGAAGAATGACCTTCAGCTGTGAATAAGGTCATTGCTGTGAAATAAGCAGGGGTAATTCTGATGAATAAGACCAAGCAGCGCAGCACCAGCAGGATGTGGTGAGGACAGCAGATGGCAATGGTTTCCCTCTTGGAAAGCCACATATATCCTTTGACAGTGCTGTGACATGGTGAGTACAGGTCACCACTATAATAAGCCTGCCCAACTCCCAGCTATGGGTCTACAAGTCCTCAGTGATGGAGCAGGCAGATGTTAAATCTCAATAGCTGCAAAGATGGATGGAGGCTGCAGCAGAACAAGATCCCCAGTGTCTTGGTTTCCTGGCAATTGGATCAAGGTCCCATTCTATCAAGAGCCATGTAGAAGCAGAGGTGTAGCAGTTTCTCCACAATAAAAGAAGTCATGCACAGGCATTTGCTGTGCCAGCATATTCCTTGAGCTCTTTGGTGACTAGCTAATGGCAATGAAAGCCGGATTGTAAGGTCTAGAAGCTCCTAGTCATGAACAGGCATGAAGGTGGCAGATACAAGAAGGTTGTCTAGGACTTGGATGAGACTGAAGTGCAATTCAGCAACCGTAACTGTGACTGAAAAGCCCTCTTCAGGATCTCCTCTGCACACCCCACATGGGGAAGGGGCTAGAAAAGGGACCCTAAACACAGCCTGTCGACTACAGTATTCTGTATGTATTCCTGACTGGACAACCAAGTCCAGTGGGATCATCTTTACTGAGGTCGAAAATACCAGTGAAGATGCACCATTATTTTCAGAATCTGGAACATCAGGAGCCTCATGGACAACGCTAATAGTGAATGCCCAGAGTGCTACACTGCAATCATGACCTGAGAACTGAGGCGACACAATATTGATGTGTCTGCACTGAGAGAGACTCAATGAGTGGGAAATGGGTAGCTCAAAGAACATGGAAGAGGCTATACCTTCTTCTGGAAGGGTAAACAGGAAGGAGAACACAACTTCACAGAGTTGGTTTTGCCATTAAGAATGAACTCATAAACCAATTCAATGAATTCTCTGTGAGAATTAATGAGCTTCTTATGTCTCTCTGTCTTAAACTGGTGGGGAGCCAATATGCCACTGTCATCAGCACATATGCCCTGACTCTAGATGCTGCCAAAGAAACCAAAGAGAAATTCTATGCAAACCTTGACCAAGTCCTCTCTGACATTCTGGAGGGAGACAATCTTATTTTTCTGACTGATTTCAATGCCAAAGTCTGAAGGGACTCTAACTTCTGGAATGAAACCATCAGCAGGCAAGGAGTTGGAAAGGTCAGCTCCAGTGGCATCCTTCTCTTGACCAAACAGGCAGAATATGGACTCACCATCACCAACACCCAATGCTGATGGAAGATCAATGTTGAAGGCAAGGAAGACCTCTTCCACCAGTGCCTCAACGAAGAACTGGTGAATTCCAATCAACAGCAATAGGAGAATGCCACATGTTACATCTGACCACCAACAAGCTTCCAGCTCGAGTAGAGCTAAACTGCCAAATGGATGGTAAGCTGTTTAACCTCCACCGACCCCGAGTCCAAACCAAGACCAGCCTGACCACAGTCATTGAGCTCCAGTACGCTGATGATGCTATGGTGTGCACTCACTCAGAATCTGAGGTGGTACT